TCACAATCTACATTGCTGTCATAATAGTCTCACCCCAAAGGATTTTAGGAACTCCTGAACTAATAATCTACATCTAACCTTATCCAAAATAGTCACATTCATTCTTTCAGCAACTCCATTTTGCTGAGGAGTACAAGGAAAAGTTTTATGCCTGAGGATCTCATCATCTTTACAAAGTTGATCAAATTCAAAATTACAAATTACAAACCATTGTCCATTCTAAAAACTTTGATCTGTTTATCCATTTGATTTTCAATTTTTAAACTTTTCAGAAGTATTTGATTTTTGTTTCAAAAGATAAATCCAAACTTTTCTTGAAAAATCATCAACCAGTGATAAAAAAAATATCTATTACCATCTTGAATGGTAGTAGATGATGGGTCCCACAAGTCAGAATGAATATACTCAAGGATAGATGCAGTCTTATGCTTTTCAGTATTAAAATGAAGCATATGTTATTTTTCTAAGGTAAAATACTCATAGAAAGGAACCTTAGAAATCACATACTAACCAAATGTCCATTTCCTATCCAAAATATGCAGGCCCTTTTTACTCATATGTGCAAGCCCATTATTTCATTTCAGGGTAACATCAATCTCAACACTAGAGGACTCAACAGTGTAACTCTGAACTATACTGGCTCTAGTGACATATATACCATTTCTATTCAAATCAGGAACATACCTTACTCTTTCTAGAGTAAAGGTATATCCATTTTCAAATTTCAAAGTTACACTACCAATTCCTTTAATCTTACAAGCTACATTGTTTTCCATAACCACATCTCCACCATCAAGATTCTTAAAGTTTTCTAACCAAGGTCTTCTAAATGTCATATGAAAAGTACACCCAGACTCCAGAATCCATTCACTATTCTGATAACTGTTATCTACATAATTTACAGTATTCAAATCAGAAATGAGTTTTGTCACCACATACACATCAACAGTTCTCTCATCTAGGGGTTCTACTACATTTCCCTCATCCACTATCATCTCTCTCTATTCATTCTTCTTCTTATAACAGTCTTTTATAAAATGTCATGTCTTTCCACACCATAGCACTTCCTATTTTCACTCCTAGACTTTGATCTAAATCTCCATTTCCCTTTTTTTTAGAATGATTATTCCCCTGATGACTCTGACCATTCACTTGCCTAGGCATGGGTCTCTATCTCACAAATAAACTCTCAAATTCCTTCCCAGTCCTATCAAACTTAAGCTCTAATTCTTTACTTTATCCCCAGTACTAATAATATCTTGGACTAATTTATTAAAAGTATCAAGATTATCATCTAAATCTTTAGACATATCAATCTTAAAGCCGAAGTACCTTTCTAGAAGGAAGAGTTTATTAGGAAAACTTTTAGACATATTCTTCTTCTAATTTGTCCCACAAAACTTTAGCATTATCAAGTTTTTCAATTTTTATCAACATTTGATCAGTCAAATAAAGAATTATAGAGGTATAAACAAGTTAATCAGATTTAGGTTTTTGATCATCAGTTATAGTAGTAGGAAATTCACCAATTATAGCTTTATAGACTTTCTGTTGAACTAAGATCCCTTTCTTTTTTTGCTACCAAATGAGGAAATCCTATTTTTCATTAAAAACTCCAAGTTCAAAAGGCGAAGTTATCATTTGAAATTTTAATCAACACAAAAAAGGTATTTGAGGTCACAGTTTAACAGAAAGCAAAGACCAGATATTTCAGAGCCAATAAAATGTCACACAAAAAACCTCAGTGTCACACAAAAAATGGGGATGAAATACCAATTCAAATACCAAACTAGCAACACAGTGAAAACAAGTGAAAAATCAACAGTGATTATAAGTAGATTAATAGCCACAGTGAAAAACAAAATCAGCAGGGATATTAAACGAACCAATAATCACAATAATGCTCCAATATGCTACAGTAATATTAAATAGATTAATATGGGGAGTTCCTTAAATTTCTAAGTGTTAGAATTCACCAGGAATCCGTGAGGTTCACGACCTTAGGTCAAAGTACAATTCGTAAACATAAGAAATTGGAGAAATAATAGAGGGAAAACAGGGAGAATTTCAATATTCAGAATAAAAAAATAGCAGGAAATAAAAGGGTTAGAAATTTATAACCAAACAAGTTCGAAGAACTTCAACCAAATTCCCAGGAGTTCTGCAGAACCACCGGCTCGAAGCCAAGAATAAAAAAAGTTCACTAAGAACCAGCTAGTGATCATCGGAGGGTCACCTTCCTCTCAAGAAGTCACCAAGAGAAAACCAAGATTCGAAAAATAGAAATCTAGGGTTTCAAGGATTTCAGATCGATAAAATTATGTTGCCTAAAATTTAGTTTTTAGAGACAGTAATTCGATCGAAGACTCATGATGAACTCACAAATGCTCTGATACCACTTGTAGAGTAAAATCACAACGGAAGCAGGAAATCAGATTAATCAAGAATACCAAAAATCCAATAACGCCAAGGGATCGATTATCACTTAGGTTGAGAATCAAATCATTGTACTCTTCTGTACAAGAAAACGACCACAAAGACCCAAACCCTAAAGAAACTGAACCACCGCGACTAGTACGATGGACCAAGATCAAACAATTGATCACAACACTTCAAATCCCTCAACCGAAGACTCATTAAGAATCTAATCACACATATCTAAGAATAAAACCAGAAGGTTTGAACTATACATAAAGAATCAGAAAAGGGAATGAAGAAAATAGAGAACCCAGAAACTTCGAACAAAAATAACAGAATGAATAATGCCAACCAAATGACGATCCAAGCTCCATAAATACATAGATCCACTACCGTTGATCAAGCCACAGATCAAGGGACTAGAGCAGCACGCATGTCAGTTTAATTGGATTGGATTTTGGGCCTTTTCTTGTGTTATCGGGCAATGATAAATTATTCCAGCAAATGGGCCAAGCCCAGTTTTATGATTGCCCTGTGGACCATGGCATCACAGCCCATCATCTTCAATTTCATCATTTTTGCCACAATCATATTCTTCTTTATGCTCAATTCACATCCAAGTTGAGGTTTTCCCTATAAATATAGTACTACGTACTAAAGGGCAAAAAAATATGTACAAATAATCAAATCTTAAGTAGATTTAATAACCTAGATAAGTGTCATGTGAAACACCTTTTATCATTAAGCGTTTGGAAGGGTGGATGAATTTGTTTGGCTACTCTTCTTATCATTGCTCTATTTAAAAAAATTGACAAAAATTGTGAAAGCAATCCAACTATTGTTCGTGGTTAGCAGTAATGCACGAGTTTTCAATTCATTTTTCATATCAAATCACTATATGGCATGTATTTTTTAGTCAATTTCTATTTTCAAAAGCTAATTAGAAGATCGCAACATATAGAGACATTAAACTATACATTTTTGTGTAAATTAATTCTGTCAGGGAATATTATTTATACATGGTAAAAAGTGTTGTACGAAAGCAAGTTTCACTGACTTAGGGGTGCAGGTGGAATGGGATCCTTCCAACTGTGAGAATCAAATGGCTGGTTTTAGAAAACTCGTCCCACAAGCCTGCTTCAATACTTCATCCAATTCATCACTTTTTCAATATTCATAAAGAAACACAATTAAAGAATCTACATGTCCACTTCATCTGTCAAAGCTGCACCCCACCAGCGTGCTTAACTCACCATGTCTCTGAATTAAGCACTCAGACTCTCAGACTGGAGCATTTTTTAGTATACCAAGATACATAGATTCTTCCACGTTGGAAATTTAATTTCCTTTTTAACAACACTTCAGTATGTATATTACTAACTAATTAGATAACTAGATTTTTGTCCAAATCTTCTTTGTTATAAGTGAATCGATCTTCTTAGTTAAGAAAAACATTGCAATTATGGGCATGGTGTGAAAGGATTCTGCAACAAAACTAACATTAAGGATCGCCAGGATTCTTTAATAAAAAAGACATACATAAACGAAATATTAGGGAGAAAAACACACCAAAATTAAACACTCTAAAAGATGATGCTAGCTACATTAGTATTCATATACCACACCCCAAATGACCTCCATGAAGAAAAGCCAAACCCTAGTTTCTTGATTAGTAAAATAAAAGAGAGACATATTTTAGGTAACTAAGGGGTCATAATTAAGGATATGCACCATTAGTTGTGGCTATATCAGTTTGCCCAGGAAGAGTGGTATTCCAGAAACCCAATTCACCTCCAGATACTGTAGCTGACTCAAAAATGGTGGAAGAAGCCATTGATGGTGCAGAAGATACATTTCCAAGAATTACTGGGGCAGGTTCTGGATAACAATATTTTGATGATCTAAGCTTCTGATAAAGTTCTTGGATCCCAGTATTTTGAACTTCTCCCAGTATAATTCCGTTGTTCGCTTGATTCTGTTGCTGATTGTTGCTCCAAAAAGAACTGGGAAGCCAAGTGGAGGTAACCATCTGGCTAACTGGATCTAACCCTAGGGTCCGAGAATTTAAACCACCATTGGGTAAAGATGATTCAAAGCTCACGTGGGACCCATAAAAACCACCTTCCTCCTTCACGGTGATAGGATTAATCGTGACAGGGTTAGGGCTAGAAATTTGGTTTGATCTCAGTAAAGACAACAAATGAGAATTTTGAGGGGAGGACCATCCAATTGGGTTTGTGGAAAGATCAGCATGTTGTTCGAAACCACTAAGAAAACATGTTTTTCCTGTTTCTGATGAAACTGTCTTCAACTTTCCGGCACTTGATTTTCCAACAGAGTTGATTATGGTAATATTCTTGTTTTTCCGACATCCACCTCCGATGGGGACATTGCGAAGGGCACCTCCTTTAGTCCAGTAGCGCCGACAAGTCTTGCAGAAATGGCGCGGCTGAGTGAGGTTGTAGTTGTTGTAATAACAGAACTTTGTGTTGGAAGAATCGCATCGAGGGCATCTCAGGTTCTCAGTGGTGGTGGCAGTGGCAGTGGTGGAAGAAGATGGAGAAAGAGACGGTGAGGGTGAAGGCGAGCCATCAAAAACTCCATTAGTGGTGGAAAGTTTAGGTCTTTCCCCTCCTGTTAAGCCAACATTACTCCCACCCAACAGCTCCTGTATCATCTTTTTCTCGTCCTTGTTGATCTAACAATCCCAAAACAAGAAAAAGAAAAGATGGATTAGTCTTTTTTAGTGGAAAAGCAAAAGAAAGTAGGGTTTGTAGTTGTACGTTTATGCGTGATGATCTATCAGAGAAAGAGAGAGAGAGATGACACTGAGGACATGCCTTGGATTTGTAGAGCTTGAATTTTATGACGATAGAGGAATAGAAGATTTCGGGTATGATAATTAATATATAGAAACACAATAGAGGCCACTAGAAGGACAAGCTACTTTGTCTTCTTTCAAAAAAAAAAAAAAAAAAAATTGGTCTTAAAATTTGGAAATTAGTGTTTATTTTTGGGTTCTATTAGGAAGCAAATCCTAATTGAAATGTTTTAAATTAAATATTAAATTATCAAGAATTTTCCTATGCTAATTCAGACCGATCGATCTACTTTACTACTATATAAGACCTAGAACGTGCTACACATTGTTAGAATAATTTGAATACAAGTTCTCGGTGGGCTATTACAAATTTGAAAGTTTGAATAGAAATGTGCATTTCCTAATATTATATTACTACATAGATTCCCATTGTACTAAACAAGAAATTTCAGTTGGAAGTGGGAAGAAGAGCTGGGAATATTAATGATAATAGCAATCAAGATTTGCAAAAGAATAATCTCTGCTTTGGAAAACAATGATTACAACTTCATGAAAATGGCTCATCACTTGGAAATACGTGTAAAGTCTATTATCCCACCAACCCCAACTACAATTCCACTCCGCTCAAAACTTATGCCTTCGATTTTGCCCCTCTTAAACAACGCCACGAGCTCGCGTAACAGAATTTTTGAAAAGTTAAAAATTGATTACTAGATTAAGAAGCTATTTATGAACGCAATTCGATAATTTTTCAAAAGTATTTTATCTGACTGTAAGAGTTTTCAGAGGAAGGTAACTGAAAATAACTTTCTCAAAAAATCGTACTACAAGAAGCAAAAGTAAAAATTCTATCAAAAAATACCAAGAGAATGTATGGTTAATCACTTATTTCTTAACTATTCTTATATTTAACCAACACAAAATTATTAAATTAAACTTTACTCATTTTCTTATAAGTAAATATTGTTAAGCTTAGTCAAATGCACTATAGAAGAATGTATAATGAAGATGGATGATTACCGATGTCATCTTGTGCAGCACGATGGGGTCATTTGGTACATATGCTAATTATTATTCACACGTATGTGTCTTTTGTTTTTATTAGTTAAGCTTTTAATTATTTGTGGGTGTGCTTGACTCAATCAATGATCCTTATCATTTTATTAGAGTGATTTTTTGGAGTTTTCATGTTTTGGACCCACAAAGAATAAGGTGGAAAATTTGTTGGGGGGGGGGGGGGGGGGGGGGGG